CACGTCGGGGTAGGTGGAGCGAGCGCGAAGGCAACCGCACCTGTCGATCATAGAGATGCGCTGCCACACAGAAAGTCCTATTCCGGAAGTCGCGTAGGGGGCGGCCCGCGACGCATTGTGGGACGCGGCGAGGAGCAGGGGGGCACGGCGGTCCGCCGGGTGGGGCGCTACGTGCGGTGCGGCGGCCGCCTTCCCTCTTGGGGGCTCTGACGGTGACGGTAACAAAGCCACCCCCGTCCCGTGCCAGGCACCCTTCGCTAAAACCAACCCGTGACAAGCGCCGGCACCGGCGGTGCCCCCCGAGGCAGTGCCTCCGGTAAGGTGGGGCCTGCTGCCGCTACAGGCCCCAGCGCGGGCCGCATGGCCGGCTCGGGGGTTCGGGACCCCCGGGGCGGGCTGAACTACCCCCCACCACAACGAAGCGCGACGGCGGTTTTGCCAGGTAAGGGATGCAGAACGATGTACATGGCGTTGCGTTACCCAAGGCTGTAATCGGCAGTCGGTTTAAGGTCCGCTTCAGGAGACAGCCGTGTCCCCTACAGAGTGCCTGCCATGTGTCTTCGGCCTCCAAGTAGCATTGTAAACACGCAAAACACTAGTGCAAAAGGCAGAAGGGTTTTCTACAGACCCTTCTGTGAATTACTTTGTCCAGGAATACCCTGACCTGTTCACAAAGGGATCTTCACAGTACAGTTATATTCTTTTTATTTTTCCTCCTTTTTGAAAAAATACCGTTCAGCTTTGCAAACAAACTATTCAGAAACAAAAATATAACATGAAATTCTTGCGTTTTAATAAAAGAAATTTTACTTCTTTTTTCAAATTGCATCTATCTGACAACTTCTAACACTGAATTATTTTAAAGGCTTGTGCTTTAGAAATGAAATGTGACAGCTTTAAAGCTACCTGGTTTTTGTTCTGTTTACAACTTAATATTTACTTCCTGAGCCTCCGGCTTGCAACCTGGCAGGGCAACGGATATGCTGAGGTAGGACTGCAGTGTGGAGACACAGGTATCGGAGGGGAGGCGTGGCTACCACGGTTAAACAGCTCCAACCACTGAAGATGCACCAACGAGGGAGACTGAACAAAGGGAAACTTTGAGAGAACCCTTTCCTCTATGGCTGCAACTTGGAGCGAGTTTGGAAAAAAGGCAGGGTACTCAGCATGGGTGACACCAAGACGCACATCCTAGCAGGCTGTGGTCCTGGGCTTCTGGGGCTGCCTGGTTTTCATGGAGGTTCAAAACCAGATACAGCTCTGCAAAGGCCTTGTCAGCCAGTGAGGGAATTTAGAGAGACCAGGCAGGAAGACATTTTGTGTGGAGTGAGCAGATGGAGCTTCTCTTGTAAGAGGTGGATGGGTGAATTGTTCAGTTGGTGTGTGGAGAACGTATGACTCCAAGCAAATGACAGGGAGCAATAAGAGTTGCAGAAAGGTAATGAGACCTGAGCAGCAGCATAATGACAGTTAACTGGAGAGAAAAGATCCCTGAGAGCAAAGCAGAATTCAGTACCACAAATGAAGGTTTTGTATCTTCCTGGGCAGCTCTCAAACTGCTCTGACAAAACGACCTTGGAAGGAGAAATTGTACTGAGAGCAGCCCTTGTTGAACAGGCCTTCAGTGCTGGCACCGTTCCAGCAAGACCCTCTCGAGAGATCAACTCATTTAGGAAGAAACTGTTGCCTCCTACCTGAATGGTGGGGAAAATTAAGGCACTAGCCAAAAATTAATTAGGATGAAAAAAACAATCTTAGGCAGTCATGGAAAAGATATCCTAGATTTGGGGTTTTTTTTGGGTTGTGGTAGGTTTTTTTTAAGTATTATGATCCCGAGTTAATCATTGCCATAAGGTGACAGCTTTTTTCAGTCAGTCCTGATCTTCTACTGACTAGGTTTTCTGTTTCTCAACTCCACTTCCTCCCTAAGAACAGCTGTCAGCATCTGTTGACATTATTACTAAAGAGTTCCACAAGTAATTAATCCCTAACTTAATGGCAGGTGTTATTAGTTTGAAGCAAGCAACGAAGAGAGAAGTAAGACTTGCACATAGCATTAAAGTACCTTTAACCATGCTTTAACCTATCCAACAGAATGTTAATACTCTTGAGTGTCAAATGCCAATCCAAGACATTATAGGGACAGACGGTTACCTCCCTAACACAAGACAGTGCCAGTGCTGCCATTCTCCTAGGATGACAGGAAAAGTGCTCTTCATTTTCCCGCTCTACAGGTAGTTTTTGTTGGAAAGAAACAGACTGTGTCACCAGAAGACCACTACCTAAGGTCAAGGTATACGAGCCTCATTAAAAATAGCTATTCCCAGCTTCATGTAAATAGAAAACGTTTCCAAAGTGTATATGGCTGTAAATCTCAGAGTCCTGGGCTAAGGTAACTTAAGGCCCAAAGCCAGACCCATTCATCATTTTGATGTCAAAAGTTTATCACCTGTGGGTTGCCATCATTCCCCAGGCACGATCCAGTCTGTCACTGTAGAGGGTGCAGGCTAGCTGTTAAATTCTTTGAGTCACAACTACTGCAAGCAATAAAGTACCTACTACTCTCTTCAGATACTTGCTTCTTGATACCATGACTAATTCAGGCTGTCAAATTTGTACTACAGTGCAACCTACTTATCATTGTTTCACTTCTCCTCTGTGTACCTAGTTAAAATAACTTAGGCTAGTCCAAATAAATCCCTTTCTTTTTGGATTTACACTTGTAGCTAAGTAGTCATTTGGTTATTTTGTATTTCCAAGCTTTTCTCAGTCAGTCCCTCCAATTCACCAGTCATTTTGGTGGCTCAAGCTCAGTCCTCTCCAATTCTGCAACAGCTTGCTGGTGCTGAAGTGTTCATCCCAAATGCAAGTGCAGAAACTCCTGAATCTTTCCCCAGGAGTGTTCCTGTGCATGGGCATGTGCTTTGCTCTCTCCACCCCCCAGAACAGGCACCCCCAGAACACGATCCATAGCTACCTGACAAAATGGAGTAGAAGGAGGATCAATTCGGTGACCTGCTCCTGGATAACTCAAGAGTTCAAAGTTTTCTTTCCCGTGCTGGCGTAGACGCCCGATTGCCAGCTCAGCATATAAGGAGCTCTTCCACATACGATCATCTTCCCCTACCACTAAGAGAAAGTGACCTTCTGCTTTTTCAATGGGGATGGTGCAAGGAGAATTAGCAGGATTTGTTGGGTCATCCAGAGCTTCGAAAATGTCAAATACACCAGCGTCAGAAACACTGACCTTATTCATGTCAAAACACAGTCCAGGCAGAGTCATCTCACCATAATGGAGGTCTGCAACTGTGTTTGAGCTACAGCCGGAGATACAGACAGCAGCCACTACTTCTGGCAGGAAGGTGATCATGGAGAGTGCTAGTTCTGCCCCTTTCCCCGTCCCAATCACTCCAACTCCTGGTCCCTTCACCTAAGATAGGCGGTGGGGAAGAGAGGAAGAAAGGAATTAAGTAAGTATATGTTATAATGGAATTAGCCATTAAATGCCTTTGGAGTTGTGTTATTAAAAAACCCAAAAGGTTAGGTTAATTATCGATGTGACCTGTTGGAAAGCTGCAGCCTGGACCCAGGCTTAGTGTTGTATTTTTCAGAGACAACAAGAGCCATCAAACCCCACAAAATAACACAGACAGGGACAAGAAGTGCCATCACTTGGTCCTCACCTAGTCCCTATTGTGTATTTTGATGCAAATATTTTCTCTTTTTTTCCCAAAACGGGTAGCAGGAAATTCAAGCATGGTCTATTGCTATATATGTCTCAGGCAAATAAAGTAACCTCACAAAAGACATCTGAAGGATTAGATAAGTAGCATTTAGTCTTGTCCTTTTCCAGCCTGGAAAGTAAAAGTGAAAGCAACATCCCAAGTCATCAGATCCTTTCATTTGCTGACTATTGAGCAGTTTTGTATCATCCTCTCTTAAACTAATTGCTTTCATTTAAAAAAAAAAAAAAAAATTTATCACCACTGCTCCTGTTTGGAGAACATTCCAGCACTTCACTGTTCTAATGATCAGGAATCTTCTAGTTTCCAGCATTAATTTATTTAACAGACAGCTTGTGCTGGAAGAAATTCACTCTCTGCAGTCATATGCGTAGCTGCCTATGCAGGACCTACACTTTTTCAATTATTGGGCCTAAACCTGCCCAGCAGAAACTGATACTCCAAAAAAAAAAAAAAAAAAAAAAAAAAATCACCGCCACCAGTGGGGCATGGCTGTCGAACCCTCCCTTGTCCTGGGAGATCTCTCATTACACTCACCTTCGGGTGACGCTGTAGGAATCTAGCTGCCTCCTCAAAGTACTCAAGTTTGAATTCTTTCATGACCTTAGGCAGATCTTCAAAGTCAAAATATGGCAGAGAAAGAGCAGCAAAACCACGGGTAGCCAGGAGACTGGATCTAAATTCAATCAGACCTCCTTCATCGCCGTACATGTCAATCACTCCTGGAAAGGGGCCATCCCCTGGATTAAAAAGAAGAGGTCCAGAGGACAAGTTGTTAAACAGGACACTAGAAACTATCTGGTGAAGAGTGAACAACAAAATATAGAAAGCTTAAGGCATTTTCTGTTAATACTCATTACTGTTCCATTTGCACAGCAGAGATTAGAGCACCAGTGCTGTGTCCCACTTCAGCTATTTCAAACTAAGAGTTGGTCCTTACCTTCCTGTAAAAGTATGTGAACAGATAAACTTTTTTTTTTAAAAAAACTGTTCTAAATGTATTTCCAATGGTCTTAACCTCCCACCCTCAGAACAGTCATACTCTAAATCAGCTATTTTTCCCTAAAGAAGCCATACCTTAATTAGCAAAGGGCAAGCTCATTACTAATGAGGCAAGAGCACCGAGCCCTGGAACTCAATTCTACAAAACTGATGCAAACTCTGGAATAGGGTGCATTGAGCAAAGCGCAGCAGAGCCACCCTTGGCTAGATGAAATCAACTTGACTTACAAGCTCTGTCTCAACATCAGCACTGTAACACTTGGCAGCAGAACTGCTACTGCAGATGTGAAGAGGGTAAAACCGAGAGCTATACGGGTGGCGCGGTTACGTGTGCGTGGCTGATACACAGGTAGATGTGCATATTCAGCTGTACCATCAGTCCAGCAAAACGATACAGATAATCAGAACCACAGTTTTAAGTGAGCATGCTTTTGGAGCCAAGGCCGCGTTGTGACATTACTGTATGGCATGCCAGCAGATCTTGGGTTGAAAGACTAAGGATGTACTCTTGGAACTATGAAGACCCCAGACAGGCAATTTCTTTTTTTACTATTTTTTTGCTGGCCACCAGATGTCACCACTTGTACACGGATCCAACTCACTACAACCATCTCGGCAGAAAAAGCACCTGCTTGTGCAAGAGTGCATTAACTCTGACATTACCTACACGCAGTAAATAAAGGACCTCTGGCATTTCAGAGTGCTTGAGAAAAGAAAGTTTTGGGCAAGACATGCTAGATGGCGGAAACCTCCCAACTTAAAGCATGGGGAAGTCAGAAAAGGACTGAAATGTGCTTTTGGGTTCTTTCAGTTCTGAAATTTTTCATAGAAGTTCAATATTCTACTTGAAAGAAAATATGTCTGGATCAACTTCTCGTAATGCCACGATCAACAGTCACCTTTAGTTAACAACAGTGAGCCTAGATGGCTAGGAAAAAAAAGTATTCGTTCATTTATCACCCCTACCTGGAAAGCTTTCTAGCAAGAACATGTGATCAGAACAGTCAAGCATGAACACATTTCTCTCTCATGAAGACAACCTTCAGCTTACACAAGGATCCTGGACTGCCTTCCTGAGTGTCTGCACGTGACCAAGTATACAGTTTCTGCATAGCTCACTAAGCAGCAGGATGAAATGGTCTAGGCAACTTTACTACCGCTTAAAAACAACCAACCAACCAACCCCACACCTGTAACTCTTATGCCAGAATTGAGAAATCCCTTTCATATTAAAATTGCAGCGTAAGCCCACTCATGTCATCTCACTTTCACTAAGAACAGGTCACATTTAAGATTCCTATCTTGATAATATTAGCATTTTTCCATCCCTGAAGCAACGAGAGGTATGGTCATAATGCATCGGGAAGGATCCAATATTATTTAAGCAATGATTCCAGACTTTTCCACGCTATTACAGCACCAGGCTTTCTCAAGGGAAAAATGCAGTTCCATCTTGCAGATCTCTGGATTCCCACTGAGCTCAGCAGAAATCCAGCTCATCTTCTAAGGCAGGATATATCAAAACAACCACGTCTCAGTGATGGAAAATCCAGAATGCTGACTAAATGTTTGATCCAAAGTTCAATTTTTGTTGCTGTTTTTTCTTCAGTGGACTTTGGATCCGTATGTAAATGGATAAAAGGATTATTGGTTTGGAAATCATTCACTGAAAATGCTAATAACTGTAGTGGTACTTGCAGGATTTGCTGAACCAAGTCGTTATAAACTAGAGGCTATATGGAGGGCAGTTCTAGCAGCACAACACTCAGGGAAATCCAGTAACTTTAAATCATGGGTCAAGTGTACAAACACCATCATCAGAGTAAGGTTTCATTGTCCAGCAACACTAGCAGATGACCAGAGTATCACACCTGATAAAGCACAACCATCCCACAAGCAGAACAGGTAGAACTTGCTCAGAAATCTATTTTGCCTTTATACCACAGACCAACTGAAGTAACTCAAGTATTAACTTAGCTTTGTCTCTGGTGTTACAGAGGTGGAACATCGATATTTTCTAGACTCTCTTCTGCTACTCTGTTTACTGGCATGTGCTTCACAGCGAAGAAAAGTGCATTTTTGATTCGATCCTACTCAGGCTAAAATCCTTGGGAGATTTAGCACAGGCTCACACGATGAACCGTATCATCCTTCCTGAACAGATTTTGGCAGTCCAGAGCAAACATCAAACCTACTGAAAAATTCTAGAGTGAGAGCAGTGACATGGTAAACTCCACAACCCCTTTCTCACCGAGCTTTTACCTGCCCCACCAGAGCCACCTGCCCTGCCCGCTGCTGCCGGCAAGGCCCAGGCAGGGCATCCCGAAAAGCCTTTGAGTGTGTGACTCTGAAGATTTCCAGGAAAAAGAAGCGGCCACCTGCCTGCAGGGCGGCGTTCAGACCTATTACGGAAGATGGGTTTCCCGGGTGCTATCCTTGGCAGGTTTGGGGTTTTTTTCCCAAAGAGGTTTTATTTGCTCTGGACAGAGCAGCCGGGAGGCCCCGTCGGCCCCAGGGCGAGGGTCCCCGGCCGGAGCACTCACCCGGCGGCAGGAAGAGGGAGCCCCTGACGCCTCTCTCCTTCAGCCGGATCCTCCGCACACCGGGGGCCGTGAACCACCTCTCCACCTCCGCCTTGGCCACCACCGGCCCGGGG